ATACACCTATATCGTGTTCTTATATTTTATTTATTTATTTCATTAGCAGGCCGTGGCCCAAAAAACAAGTTTGTACACGATAGAGACAATGTAATAGCAACACTAACAACTAAAACAATATAGTAAGATAATTACAATAAAATAAAATATAATAAAATGAATACACTAAAATTAAATTTGGATTAGAGGAAATCGAAGGTTGGGTTTCATTTGCTAACCTCATCAGTCGGTATAAAGAGGAGAGTTAATTCAGTAGATAATCAGTTATGGTGAAAGGAATAAAGAGGGTGAGGGTATGCCATGGAAGAACTGTAATCAAGAACCAGTTGATTAATATGGATAATACCTATTTTCAAGAAAAACAGTAAGTTGGTGAAATGTTACAGTTCGGCGGGGATAGCAAGTTAAGACATTTAAGGATAAGGGTTTATTCAAATAGAGTAATAGGTAAGTAGCGAAGCCTAAGAATCTGAACAGGAACTCTCTAAATTGCTAATCAGTATTCAGTAGCTGATTTGGGGTCTCATAAAATAGATTCATACTTAATAATTGGATAGACTATAGAACTGTCGAGGATATTTATTACGAGGCTTTCAATTTTTTTACAGCAAACATCTTTTATATTTTGTCTGGAGGATAAATTTGGTGAAAGCATTGGACTGAATAAAGAGTAGTCATAGAAATACAATAAACTGTCATCACTAGGGCCCGGATTCTGATGCCCTAACAAATAAAAATATGACCTAGAAAATTGTTAAGTTAATACAATTATTTATTAATATTAAAATTAAAAACTACGGTTCATAAAAATACGAGGTTTTGATTTAATTTTAATTTAAAAACTGGTTTTAATCTAGAAAACAATTAAACATTTTGATTGTATTTTTCGTGTAGATATGTAAAATTAAATTAAGATTAATGGTAATATTCTCCTACCAGAACATTTGAAAAAATATAATAATGACAAATAATTAACTGGTAATTTTTCCCTCGATTGTTAAAAATTTTTAAAAATACTCTAAAACTTCAAAAAACTACCTAAAGTTACAAAAATGAAAATAAAACGAAAAATGCAAAACGAAAATTTGTAGTATAGATTTATATGTTATTGAAACATATTTTAGACTTGAAGAGCATAGTCTATGAAATCCAATTAAAATATGCAAAAATCATCAAAATCAGGATCAAAATCATCACTGTAATGGATGTGTTAAATTTGAATTCAATGTTCAATCATTGTGTAATCGATGAAAAACGATTCTGAGCGGAGACGGTCTAATCGTAATAGTTAATAGAACAATTATTACTTAAATAATAATAATATAAAAATGTCATTACATTTTTTCCCGTTTATTTCAAAAAGTACTGAACAATTTCTATTTTTGACTTACCAAAATAAAAACTAGATCCAATTTTCTATCAGAAACCTCCCTTAAAGTTGACAGTTGGAGCATTTATTTTACTTGAAAAAGTGTCTATTCAAAAAAAAACACATCATAGTGAAATAGATACATTCATTGCCCCTCTAAGTATTTAGTTCAACTAAATGAAAATACTTAAAGTTTAAGTAGAGAAGTGGACCAATACTAGGCGCCCGTATCTTTTTGCTGCTACATAGATGCTCCGAGAATCTAAATTCTAAATAATATTGATTTATAATAATAAAAATGTGAAGGAATATATTAAGTATGTATAGCAAAAATATTTTGCTTTGAAATATTAAATTAAAAAATGTGTTGTCATTTAAAAAGTGTATACAGAAAAATATATAGGTCATGATAAAAAATAGTAAGTAAAATAATAATATTGAAAAAATAAATTTTAATATATTTTAAAAAACTCTTATAAGGAATCACTCGAAAAATATAAATAATTTTCAAAATAGTAAATTTCTTGAGTTCAAAAAATCACTCTGTATATTAAACTATAATTTAACTGAGTATTTTTCTTCGAGTATTCCGATTTAAACATATTTTAAGACCTAGCTTATATCCTCAAGATTGGTAAACACTATATTATTATATTTTTATATTTAAAAAAAAGTCATATTTTTCGTCCGTCCGAAGTTATCTCTCTGAACACCAGACGGATTTCGACAAAAGTATCGTCCTCAAGCCACTAATCAACACATTTCGACTAAATTCGTAGACCCAATTATCCAGTGGTGAAATAGAAATACACCTGTGGTGCTCCGGACCTGTTTTACCGAGACATTTGTTGAATTTTTTTTAATATAATTTTGTTTTTCAAATGTTTACAAAATAAATTTTTCATAATTTCTACCAGTTGTAATTTGTCCTGATTCTTATTGTCCATATTTAAATTTGGAATATTGAAAATTTTAAATTAAATAGTAAAATGTTAGTTAATATTAACTTATTATTTAAATAATCTGAAACTAAAAAGTTCTCAGAGAATAAATATACTACCTAGTACCTACTATAGTTTCCACAAATTCCTCCGAAAAATGAAACTCAATGGGTACTCAATTTATTTTCTATTAATTATTTATGCCTTTCAATATATCACTGATATTTTATTTTTAAAAATGTATAATCATAATAACTAATAAGACATTATTTAATTATTTCTTAGGTTTTTTCATTCGTTGTTTTTGTATTCAGTTATACATTTTATATTGTATGGCCTACTATTATGTCAATCCTATTAGTAATGTAGACAATTTTTAAATCACTCAAAACACGTAATTTTCGTCTAAACATTTATAATTTCCTGTTTGCTTAGCATTTACCTATTTGGCTATTTATCATAGATATAATAAATAATAATAATGACTAGGCCTAACAGATAATTTTATTACGCAATTTCGCATGGCCTATTGTATGTTGGAATGTCATGGACAAGATATGTGTATCGAAAGAATTTGTTTATTCTCACTGAATTAAACAACAATACCAAAAACATCGTGAACTGCCAAATCTTAAAATAATTACAACTAAAATACTCAACTTCTAAATATTATTATCTAATGAACATATAATTTGATATAATAAGATTATTTTTATAGATCATTTCATTGTAAAACAATTGTTTGCCAAGATAATAATTATTTACTTACGATAATAGTTGCAAACTTCCTAATATATTGAAATACTTATTGGATTATCTTCTGCACGTATTAAATTTGTTTATTATCTTCAATTTAAATATATCATTTAAATAACATTTAAAAAGTGTCTAAAGACACTTAAAAATTTAATTTGGCTCTTCTGTAATTTTGTTTTTGTTAGAGGTAGAAAAGCTTATGAGAGATCTTGTATTACATTATAAAATAATAGCAAGGAATATTAAAATTATTTTGAATTTCTATCTACAATATAATTTTCACCTTTTCACAAAAATACGGTTTCGACGAAATTGTCAACATTGTGACTTCAGGCTCACATAAAAAACCATTGTGGAATAACGCTCAATATTCGTTTTTATAATTACACTAATAACAACTTCACTAATAACAACTTATGAGGAATATTATATTCAAATTTTAAGTTTTTTTCAGGCAAAAAATTAAATATATTATCGACAATAATCGAAAAAAATTTAAAAAATTGAAAATGTGTCATGAGGATAGCTCAAAAAGAATCAAAATATTTTGAAAATTTAATCATGTATGGAAAATTTTTCATATTAACATTTAAATATCTACGGTTATTTTTGAATAACATCAAAAATAAATAAATTGATTTTGTAGAAAACTGGTATAAGCAAAAATTCCTGTTTTTACAAAAAAATGTTTGGTTTTTCTTGCCGCTTTTGAAAACTATTGAGAATTTTTACTTTTGATCTCCAGAGTAACTACCATATAATATCACTTTCCTACCAGAAAAGATACTGACGTACAAAATCGTCAAAATCGAAGCATTTTTAGTGCACCAAAAGATAATGACAGAAACAAAACAGAAATTTAAAAAACACACTACCATTGTAAAATCAATACATCTGCATTCGTCGGAGCAGAGTGGTTAGAGAATCTTTAAATTCATAAATTATGAATAAAACTGGAATTTTTAAGCAAAATCAGTTTTTCACTAACCGATTTCTTTAATTTGTATAATTCAATAACGAATAACCGTAATTTAGATACTTCAACTTTAACTAAATTGATGTTATAATTTTCTACTCACGTGATACAATTTTTAAAATATTTTGTCTCTTTTTAAGTATTTGTTAAGACTTGGCACAATCGATTTTTTTAAATAAATATTGTTAAAAAATATTTACCCAACCAATTTTAAAATTAAAGGTTCCTGATAAGTTGTTAAACCTATTTTTAACATTAAAGATACATGCTGCACGATTTTTATTTATAAGCAATCTTAATTCAAATGTTGACAAAATTCTTCAAAATTACGAAAATAACGTATAACTGAGTCTTGAAAATTGAATACAAGTTTCCTCACAAGTAATTTATTTTGAAACCATAAAACTAAAAAAATAATAATAACCACAGTTTTTTTTTATACTTTTGAATTCATTAAATATTATTCGTGGTGACTTGAAACTTTTACTTTATAATTATAATATTTATATTATACTCAACAAATATAAATATGTGCCAATACATTAATTAAATATCCACGATATAATAAGTGCAATGATAGAGACAAAAATTAAATCAATCTTCCAATATAATAAATAACTTTAGTCTTAAATAGCAATATCATAAATACTTTTTAATATAGGCTGACAGGTCGTCTTTGCTCTGAATCTTTTTTCGTATGTAATGATTCATTGAATTCAAATTTAACACATACGTATATTGTAATAATTAAGACGAAATAATATTATATGTCGAGGACAAAAGTAAATATAATTTGTTTTATCGTTTGATTTTATCTAATTCATCTACAGAACACCTCAAATGAACAGATTTATTTATTTTTACACTCTTTTCCAAACAATTATGATCGGTTATATTTATTTAAATTTCATTTTTTATGCTGTTGATTTACTAATTTTTTTTATATTTATTGTTTCAGTGATTTGCTGAGTATAGGCAGTTCGGATAGCAGAAACTATGAAATGGCTGACGTCCACGGTGTCAAGTCCATGTGTTACCAGAGCGTGGCCTCGTCCACAGGTGGCGGGAAAATCGGTTCTGTGGCAGCAGCCGCGGCTCTCAAATCCGCCACGGCCACAGTGGTGGCCGGATACCCAGCGTCCGACTCGGAAATGTTCGCGTCCGACTATCCGTCACACCACCTCCATCACCATCACCACCATCCCCACCAACACCATTACAGCAACAACAACAATAACATAAACAACAACAATCATCTCAGTCACCTCTACCACAATCACCATCACCAAATGCTCCAGCCCATACCACAAACTTCGGCCGCATCGCATTCATAATGACTTGATGATTATTAATTACTATAATATATATTATGTATATTGTATACTATAATATAGCAGTACCTTATAATATTATTAGGTGATAGTAGATATATATTAGTAAGAAAAAAAATACAAAACGGCATAAATTGTATACAAACCCCATTATCTGTATGAGGGTCAGTTGTGCAGTCTGTGATTAAAGTTAATCACAGTTTAACCGGCCGAATTTGGCCGGTTAAATATCTGTTATCAACTGATTAAGCGTAATCGGAGTTTAATCACAGACTGTACAACTGGCCCTAAGTATGAATATTATTCATTTTTTTTTTTAATTGTTTAAAAAAAAAAATCATGTCAAACATTATAATATTAACAAAATATTCAGCGAGCCCGTGCGATTTGTGGTCCGAACAAACGAACGCGTCCGTCAGTCGATTTAATCAACACGCTAACCATTTGCAACCAGCAACAAGACAACTATTATAGTTATTATAAGTATGAATAAAATATAGTGAATTAATTCGATCGATAATCGGGCATTTTACAAAACTTTAAGTTTCGAAAGAGATCCTATTAGATATCTACTTTTTAAAACGGGGATTATGAAGCCCATATTCATATTATCCACATTTTTGTGCTGATCTTGTACTAAAAACGCATTTTTTGAATTCCGGTGTCAAAACACAATATATGTGCTATCGCCTAGTGAACATTTATTTATTTTTAAACTCGATTTGACTAATATTTAGTTTCTGAAATTCCGGATGTCTATCATATGTTTTTAATAAATCAATTTATATATTTTGAGGATCTTTTAGCTTTTCTCAACTGTTTAGGTAATATTTATTATGCGTACCCCATCATACATAATAATTTATGCAGATGGTTATAATATTATTAACATTTATTTGCATTTAGCAATACTTGTTGGCTAATTTTATTTTATTTTGTTTATATTTAAAACTGACTTTTTTTAGACTTCAGTTAGAATAAAAACAATGATATTTTTACCCGTCATACCTTTAACACATAAATGTAATGTCATAGTCAGTCTCATATAATTCTACAAATGGGCATGGAAATCCGAAAATATAATTAGTAGAAAATAGAAATTATGTCTGTAGGTAGTTACGCATATTTACATGAACCATATACTGTTATAAGATTTAAAAATAATAACAATAAATGGATATCATATTAGTCATACCTTGTTTTGAAGCTATTGCCAGATAACAGACATAACTGTGCACAGCCAGACACACATCTCATTTATATCTGTTTCTTTTTCTGGCACGATTATTACTCGATTCTACCTTACTCGTACGCAGTGAACATATACAGCAGAAGTATAATAATTATATAATATAGCGTAAGAAAACGTAAAACGCTGCAACTATTCTTCTTTAGACCATATTCTATTACAAATTAAAAATAATTTGACTGTATACAAATATTATACGATAATAGTCATCCCGAAAATATTATCATCTTAAAATGTGGCGTTAGAGATGTTTAAACTTTTTCAATAGATTTCACGAATTCGATGTTTTTTTTTAATTGTAATAATTTCGTTACCTTTACGTTACTTATTATAGATTGACTGAGACAGTTATATTGTAGTGCCACACGACTTTACTATATTGACACTTACACGGGTATTGCATAGGTAACTATTTAAATCCCGAAAAGGGTCCGGTTCACACCCCTCCCCCAAAAAAACTTCATATAATCACTAAAAAATGTCTTAATATAATCGTAAAATAAATTTAAAAATTATTATCACATTTATTAATTGTATCATTTAGTTACAACATAATTTTAAAAATGTTCAAAACATAAATTAGCAATAATATTATGAATTTTCATTAATGTCGTTTCTGTTTTTGACTCGACCTCCCCCCACAAAAAAAATGTACACTTCATTCTGCCGTGCTATTTAACTTATAAAATTAACTATACCATATAGGCTGACTGAGTGACAAATGACAGATAACTGCAGTATTTTAAATAACACCTATACCTGCCTATATGTATATGATAAATTTGTTTCCAATGTGCGCCATATAGTTCGCCGCAATTATATACAAATACGAGTAACGATACAATATTGGCGTGTGCAATCGATTTGAAAATAATCATTCTATAATATAAGTAGGCATATTTTATGTCATATATATATTTAGGTGTACACTGTACATGTGTGTGTGTGTGTGCGTGTACCTATAAATGATTAAAATAGTTTTTATCGTTGTTACCTAGTTGATTTAATTGAAATGCCAAATACATTTCGTAAGTGGTTATATATTACAGTGTATATAATATAATAATACATAAATCGCATAAAGTTATATCCGTTTAAAATTATAATGTATAATGTTTTATGGTAATTTTAAAATTATTTTGTATATTTTTCGTTTCTAGACAAATATAAATCCCGAATTAGGTTTTTAGTTTCTCGCGCACTTTTATATATGTATGTATTAGGTTAGGTTAAATTACTACAAGTTGACTGATGACGTCAAAATATCTGTTTTAAATCTAAATATCGTATATACCTGGCTTTTATCTCGATGTAACACAGTTACATGGCCTTGCAGGAAATTAACTTAGTTCGTATAAAATAGAATTAAAAGTTTCAAAAAAAGTCACATGTCGTTGTTATTTAGAATACATATTTAGTAGGTATATTGAAAACCAAACATTAAATTGTATTGTCGTATAAAAATAATCACGTTAACCTGTAACGCGTTTGGAAAACAGAAACCTAGCTGGGTCCTAGCTATACGTGTGCTGCTGCGGTGATTAGATCTATTATTATAATTAACCACATAAAATGATTTTTTTACGGGGTGGCACCCGACCATTTTTTTGTTAATTTTTTAGTAGGTATTGTAAAATAGAAACGCCCGAGTGGTTGTATCGAACGGGTATTCGTATTTTTATTGTATATTATTATTATTATTATGTACTGTACAAATTGTTCTTGAAATAAAATACAACTGGATAATATTATATAAAATATGTATTGTAAAAAAGGATATTTTATTTGTCAATTCCTTGAATGGGCGCTGACGATTATTATAAACTTATAATCGCAATGAACGTGTTAAAGGATATCCTGAAGCAGTAAATCATATGAGGTCCATAGGGGTTTTTATAATTTTACTGCCCTACAAGTTGCATGCACGTTTTTTTTGCCCCCCCCCCCCCCACGTCCTGTCCCGTGTAGTTCCTAATGTAGAACAGTTGAACTTGGTAAAATTGAACTTTTTAATTAGAAATCGTCAATACCTCGAACTTAGGTAAGACCCAGACATTTCATATACTTACTATACCCTGTTAAGATCAAATCAGTTCTTATTTTTTTTTTTACTCATAACTGAAAGGCCGCAACTTGTTACCGCACATTTGTCTTTTTTACAACTCTTTTGTGCAAAATATTAAAGATTCAAGGGTTTAACCCTATTAATTTAACTGGGTCAAAATGCACGGTTCCACCGGTTACAGCACGTTTCAAAAATATTGCGGAAATGTTGAAGTCCATATTAAAGAATTTTCGCACCGTTCACTGTCCTACGACTTACGATTTAACACACTACACTGCAGTCATCGACGTGTTGACGTGTTATTGTTCACTGTGAACTGTACCAACTAAAAGTAGGTACGTAAAGTCCAAAATAATATACCTAATATAATCTACAAAAACGATTATTTGTATTATAAGATATACGCTTAACTGATATCGAATATTCGATAATTTATTTGTACTGCTATACAGGGCCGGCCGTAGGTCTTTTGCCGCTCTAGGCAAATCTAATTTACGCTGCCCTATATGCAATAGTTAATTTTTTTGAGCGGAGGTGGTTGAATAAAATATGGACATTTATTTTTAACTATAAACCCTTGTTTTGTTTTAAAAAAAAAAATGTTTTGACTGACCTCAGTTTTCTTTACAAAATATAAAATAATAATAATAAAATTAATATAAATGTTGGGTATGAAATAGAACAAGTAATATTTTTGACCATCGTCACTCATTCAGTATCATTTTCATAGATCAACAATATGTATTTAATTAAACATTAAAAAATATGTAACTACACAATTAAAAATATAATAAATGAAATTAATTTTGCGAGCGTTTTCTTGGGCAAAATCAGTCGGTAAATTTTTAAACTCCAGGTTTTCCATTACTTCTTTTCAATAGGAATTGTAGCAAGATCACTTAACCTTTCTTGATTCATAGAAGACCTCAAATAGTTTTTAATTATTTTTAATTTGGAAAAGCTCCGTCCACCAGATGCAACCGACACAAGCATAGTTAAAATAATGTGAAGTGCTACAGCTACATTTGGTTACGTTCTCGGTAAACGAAGTATCAATAGTATATTATTATTAGTTATTACACATTTATTTTTGTATATTTTGAACAATGAACATACAATTCAGCATACTACATTATATTATAATAATTAAATCACTTTGGTTCATTCGAAATTTGCCGCCCCCACAGTAGTGCCGCCCTAGGCGGCTGCCTATTTTGCTACCACATTGAGCCTGCCCTGCTGCTATATTATCTGTGACCGATAATTAATTTACCTTAAGAGGATGCGTTTGTTGTCTCCGTCTTACCAACTTACAACAGCAAATTTTCTTCCACTAGTTTGAACTATGAATTTAAGTATTATCAAACTTTTAGGTGAGAACATTATCTATTCTTAAGCGTCGGTGGATTTTCGATATTTTCAAGCAAGATACGAGTATATGAAATAACACAGATCAAAAATCCTCATATCTCGCTTGAAAATCAAAATATCCAAAAATCCGCCGACGCTTAAGCATAGATTAGCTTAGCTTCTTACCTAAAACTTTGATAGGAGGTTAATTCACTCAAATATCAAAACTAACAGCACACTAGTGAACGAAAATGGTCTATGTCGTATACGTGTGTAAGACGGAGACAACAAATGCATGGGTAGTGTCCTCTTAAGTAGGTTAACATTGAAATATTTATATGTGTGTTTTTGTTGAAAGCAAACAATTTGCACCTAATTAAAACTATCATTCGATTACTACAAGTACCTACCTCACTGAATATTTTTGAATAGTTTAATTAGGTCTACTTTATTATACATCTAGTAGAACAATAATAAAATAATAATTTTTATTACTTGTATAGATGTTTTAATATTTCATATCGTTGTACCCAATCGTTCTCACTATCTACGAAAATTCTATAGAACCCAAAAAATAATAAAATTTGTAACATTATCATATTCCCAAAAATGTTAAGTCATATAATGCGCCAAATGTAGACAAAATAAGATGTAAATTATGATATTATGGAATTCAATAGATACTATAGGTGTGTAGGAATCCCCATCTCCTTTTTCTCGCAACCGCCATATCTATAAATTATGCATAGGTAGTGGTGCACAACTTTTGTACCTGAATTTCTCCTATATAACATCATATTTTATTGGAGCATGAGAAAAAACAAATAATGTAATATTATAGGTATAACAGGTATATCATAAAAAACCCACCGAAAGACCAGAAGCTGCCTTCCTTAGCACTTTGCTAGCGAATGTGTAGCGCAGGCTCCAGGCACCTAAATCTTAACACAATTATATGGAAAGCGGACAAGAATACCCTCACAGCATATAGTAATCCCCCGTTTGTTATTCTGAAATATTATTTTCGAGCCAATCAGCGTCCACCACTAAAGACAACTTATACACGTCTAAGTCCTCTTTCCGGACCGGCCGCCGCCGTAATAGAAACCAAGTTCTAATAATATTCCTCCGTGTGTTGGCAGTAGCCTAACTACGGGATGACAAGGCACAGCATTCTATTATTATATTGTTATAATATTTAGTTATAAATATTCAATACATAATATAACACATATAATTATGTAATATGTACCATGTGGTAATAATAATTTAAAAAATTGATTATTTAAAAATTAGTGGTAATTGTTTACTTTCGTGTAAGGAAGTATGAACATTTTTAACCCCAAGGTCTGGTTGCTTGCCTGAATACATATAATAAGTAATTGTGGAATGACATTTTAACAATATTTACATTATTCTCTACACTTTTTACATTATTACTATTTACTACCTATTTACTCTAGAGTCTAGAGTATAGACACAACATTCAAATTCAGTTTTTGTTGTTCAGATTTTAGTAATCTCTTGAAATATTTGAATGATTTACCTACCAAATATTTTGTTCTTTTTTAATCTTATCTTCAAAAGAAAGATAATACATATTAAAAAAGAAGAAAACAACTTTTAAATTGATACCTACCTATATATTTTTAATAGAAGTTGTTTTAAAAATTTTTTTTAGTTTTAATACATAATTAATGAAACCTTTGGATTGTAAATAATATACAAACGGATAATAAATAATTTAGACTAGTAAATTACAAAAATGTTATAATTTTCGATATTTCAGTGTAATTTTAAATTCAGATTGTTTTACTCAAATGAATATGAATACCTTAGATAATTAGGGTCAAAGTATTTAATAAAAATATGCTATTACGTCGGTATAAAAATATTATTCCTAACAGGAACTTTAATATATAAATAAATATACACAAATATCTTCAGAAACAGACAGGTAGAAACCACAGAATTTAATTCAAATTTAGTACATCCATTCAATTATTAGGTACAACCGACACCTACTAAACAGCAAAGAGACTTCTGTTGGCTTCTCAAGTTTTTTTTTTTTGTTTAAGACTTAAAGATAATTCGATACCGACAGTTTTTAAAGACTACAATATAGGCAATTTCCGATGTGTGTGGATTGACGGTACAGTTGGCATAAGACAAGTGTAATTTAGTTCCTGGTAGAAAATAAGCGCAGTCGAATCCTCTTAATGGAGCGGGAGCATAACATATTTTAAGGAGTAATATTTAGGCAATTCAAATTACACATACATTTGGGATGTGTGAAGTAAATTAACATGTGTGTGTAATTATTATCATTTTTAATTCTCGTTTAATTTCACGTGCACGCACATGTTTATACATCAAGGAAAATAAAATATATTTTTGTTTTAATAACTATAAAAATTACTAAAAGCAATAGCAAATTAAACATACTTCCTGAAGTTAAATTGTAATTTCAAAAAAAAAAACGTATTCATAAGTTTATAAGCTATATTAATTAGGAATCACTATTTTTATTTAAAACCTGATTTGCTCAAAATAAATACAAAGTTAATGCATTTATTCACGACATTTAATATCTCAATATTTATGTTCCCCTAGGCTCTAATTTTCAGGTCCTTTAAAATTGAAAATCGACTTTCTAAACATCAGATTTAGAAAGTTATAAACGATAAATAATTACACACACTTATGTTAATTTACAACTCACACATTGACACAGCTGAAATGTTTAAGTCATATTTATTTCCTGAATATTACTTCTTACTTTTAGAACATCCCTTAAGGCTTAAACCGCATTTTTGAATAAAATAATCGATCCTAATGTTCTCCATTCATACTATTCAAAGTAGATTAAAATGAATTATTTAGTTTTAACCAATCACAAAACTAAACATAAAAGTTTTAAATGAAATTGGAACCAAAAGAAAGGTTTATTTAAACAATCTAAGTCAACAGCCAATATCCTGGTTCTCAGTGGCCCACTCTACCGCTCAACATTTAAAAAAATATTTATTTTAACATTTGATAATTTATAAATCCCTCTAATTCCAGTTTAATTATTAATAATAGTTTTGATTCAAGTGGAATGCATTTATTTTAAATTTTTCAAAATTATTTGTACATAATAATTAAAATTTAATTTTGATTCTGAACTAACTACTTATATTTAAATTTAAAAAATGATTTGACTTGATTTACTTTCCACTTATGAGATAAATTTTTAATTTTGTTGTTTTAGGAAAAAAAATCCAACGCCACAATAAAACGAATTAACTCATAAGTTACTTCATAAGATGGAAAAAATTTAACTCGAAACGTTAGGAGTTACTTAAAAAAGAGTAACTCTTTATGTAACTTAATTAAAACTTAAAAGTAACTTATTTTAACATTTTAGCTTGTTAATGCCCAATCTTGGTATTTGGGATAATTTTAAACCTTAGTAGTTTATAATAATAATAATAACAATCTTAAAAATTACTCAATTGTATAAAATGAACATTATTTATTTACAAGTAAAAAAAAATAATTTATCAAACTGTAGTTTCATCCGGCTTGATCAATAACGCTAATGGTTTAGCCACAATATAATCCTGTAACAAAAAAACAATTTTTAAATAATTAAAAGTTTCAAAATATCTACACATGATCAACCAATATAACTATACTATAACTATATCACAAGAGAACGGGTCGTGCACCGATCGAAACTAGCCACAGCCACTTATCTCCATGCTGCAACCGTCTGGTTACATGGAGGGGTAAATAACTATGATTTATGCAAAAAATAGCCCATTCTCTCGTGAGCCAGAATATACAACTGTTAAAATGTAATAATGACAATAAAAAAAATAGAGTAATTTTGTAATATATTTTATCTCCAAAGTATAATATAATCATCACTATGTAACAATGAAACCGGTTCTAGTTTTGATGCCTTAAAAATTATACTTATTATAACTCAACAGAATTTACAGAAGTCATATTTTATTCTTTAAGAAATTAGAACATAACACACATAAACTGTGTACAATTCTTGATAAAAAATAAAAATTATTGTAAACCAGTATTAAGTTAAGAGGACACTTGTTTTGTCTCCATTTTACTAACTTGAGTTTTATTAAATATGAATTCAGCAGAATCAAGCTTAAATATTTAAGTGAATGTGTGAGTGAATTTGAATCTATTGTCAACTTAAAGGGTAAGGTCATATCAATATTAACAGTGTTTGTACCATGGATATACATACTATGGCTGCAAAACGAGCAATAATATAGCGGCACCAATTTATTTTATCAAGTTCCATACAATAGTACACATTCAAGAAAAGTTCCTTTATACTAGCCCTCCATAGTGGCTAAGTATATAGGTGGTGTACTTTTTGGCAGAAAAGGTGTTGCTCAAAGCCGTGACCTAATAAGTGCAACCATAGGTATATCCATGGAGTAAGTAAAAAAATGATGCTATGTTTAAAACGATGCTTAATTTCTGAAACAAATATTAAATTTTAATTAAACAAGAAATAGTCTGATTTTTTTATAGTAAGCTTGGTAAATAAATATTATTTAGTTATCAAAAACTTTCTATACGTATACTTTAAATAATGTTGAAGTGAACCCAACCTCATATATAATATAAAAATTAAAAATGTTTTTTTTTCTAAATCAACATAGCTGAAATCTAGTTTAGTTGTTTTTTTACAGTATTTTATTATTTTTAAATAAGACGAGAAATTAAATGGATTAAAAACTTATAAGAAAACAAGTTCTTACATTTCAGTTTTATAATAAATTAATTACTCTAAAATTTGAGCAATATTGATCTTGCTGAATTCAAATTTAACATGTTTTAATAATACCTATAATACAACAGAAACAACAGAAGCAAACATGGCATCCTCTTAATTACACACTTATAAGATGCAAAAATATTAAACATTTTAAAAAAATGTTAAAACTATAAAATGTGAAGTAATTTATAATCACCATCATATTTAAAATTAAGGTGTACAAGATGTAACAGAGAGAACACCAAAACAAATTTTCAAATATTAATTATAACAAAAATTATTGCATTGGCAGTTCTTTCTGTTACACTGTAATATAAAATAAAACATATTTAAAAAACTAAATACATTTTAAATAAAAATATTTAATTATTAATGATATGTTATATAAAATATAAATAATACAATACCTGCATAGTGAGGTCACCACTAGTGAAATTGTGTAGTCTTATATGACAGTCCAAACTTATGCTCATTACATGCATTTGGCTTAAATAATTAACACAGGATACTGATTTTACAGAACCAGTACTTCCTCTAAAAGTTTTCACTGGCAATGTAGATTTTCCACGAAAGTCATAATGAAATATAGACCCTTTGGATGTTCCTACGATTACTTCACTGCAATTTAAAAAAAAATGTATGTTATAAATATATTTTAATTAATAGCTAGCTATATCACAATAAACATAAAGAGTGAAATTAGGAACAGAACAAAAATCAAATTAATTTATAATCCAAAAATATTTTTCAACACATTTTAATCAAGTACAAATCTCAATAAATGATCTTAAAAAATGATTTCACATGACTATTAAACATCAGTTTTTTGTATTTATTAATTCAGATAAATGAGCTAATACAAAAAGATGCTATATTTAAAACTATACTTCATTTCTGAAACAAATATTAAATTTTTATTTAACAAGAAATAATCTGTTTTGTTTTTATAGTAAAATTGATAAATAACTGAAATAAATATAATTTAGCTATCAAAAACTTTTCAGTTTTTACTGAAAATAATGCCAACCTAACTCTTATAAAGTATAAAAATTAAAAATGTTTTTTTTTCTAAATCAACATAACTGAAATCTAGTTTGGTAATTCTTATTTTTACAAATATTCTTTCATAACTTGTTAATTTTAACACAATAATGGTTCAAATAAAAAAAGATTCAATACAAACTTTTATTAAATACTTAAGAATCAAAGTATTTGATAGTTATAAAAGTATACTAATACTTTAGAAGACTACATTTATGAAATAAATAAACAAATATAGGAGTAACATTAACTTAAAATGTTAATTCTTCACGATTTAAAATTAAGGCTCTCATTAAGGAGCAAATTATTGGTGACCTAATTCGCATACTCAGCATCATACGATCTTGGGAGTAAGTAGAAGTGTAAATGTTTATTAGAGTAAGGATTATATGAGCAACAGGTACACACTAGCAGGTGCATGTCACTAACCAATAAATAACAAAATATTTAGTTGTTTGTTTCGGGTATTTCGGCAAACAAAAATGACTTCACGGTAATATGGATAACTCGTTGACAACAGAATATTTTTAGATATTTTCTGTTTCAATTGATAAACAACATTCTATAGCCCACATTGAATTTCGATTTTTTATTTGATTTTAAAAACCGGTATAAAACAATTTGTAAAAGAAGCTAAATTTTTTTATTTTTTAAGACTTATGATTAAGTTTGAGATTAAAATATTGAAAAACGAAGTTCGACGTAGGCTATAAAATATAACACTCTATTAATAAAAAAAAATAATCAAATTTGGTCGATTCTACAGGGCGAGATCATTATTCCCGTGAAGTGTGATTTTGAGGGCAAAATCAGATAAGCTTGGAAGCTATGAAATTACTCACTCAATTTAACTTTTTCTTAAAATATAATAGTCATATTATTTAAAAAATTGTGTGATTCTAACTTCAACTATTATAAATCAATTATCTTAGTTAAATATAATTGAAGACACTAAGGCTTGCCACTACTCAGTCTACATTTAAATATTATATTACACTAAGATTAAATTTTTCATTAAATTACATTTATTTTAATTAAATAAAACAAATGGAATAGCAAAATTTCAAACAAAAACCAAAAAAAAGGCTAACATTTTCATCATATAAGATTTCATTTTTTATAATGTATATTAATTAATACGACAGTTAACCATAATACTAAATTAAAGACTTAACCTTAAATATACAACAGTATAGCTAATGAGCTAAAATTCATTAATAGTAATCGGTACTCGGTGTCATACCAATAAATAATATTTAATAACACACTTACTAATCACTGTAATCTGGCATGGTTCTTAAGCTGACGAAACCTGTGTTTTCTGCTTTACAAGATGCTACTGGTCTTCTTTGACTAGACAATGGATCATGTAAATCAACCTATAACGTAGAAGTAAATTTAAATCGGTAATGCTATGCCATCACTCAAAAGTCATTGCTTATTGGTCATTTATAATATAATGAAAATGAAAATCTGTTCGTTGGTAACTGTATCAATTAAGAACAGCTGGACTGATTTGGCTCATTTTTAATGTTCGTAATATAACAAATAAAGTTTTCAAGGAGAGGAAAATGAGAAAAGTTACCTATTAATGGGATTTTTATATGTAGGTACAAATGGTAGACATTGGTTGTATAATATTATAATATAGTTATATAAGCAAATTAGTACTATTTTTTCTATATTAATGATTGCCACAGGTACATAATATAATATAATTGATCGGACATAATATTTAAACATATCACTTCTATATTTGGTCAATATATTTTAAACCTGCATTAGTTTATCCAACTCAAAAACTACTTTACTATTTTCAATAAAAATGTATACCAATATTTTCTAAGGACTAAGAGGGTTCTTATAGTTTACTTTTTCAATCCCTAAATAACTAAGAGGTAGCTTACACTTACATATTTTTTTTGTTCATTTATAGGGTTGCAGCCATTAATTACATATAATATTACTAGATTTTATAATATAATTATCTCAAGTATGGTATACAAATCAATTACTAATAAATTTATTTTAAAAAAAAAACAATTCTTTGGGGCGGGAGGGACAGCTAGTTTTAAATAAAAATACAAATTACAAATAATTACAAAAAAAAATTTTAATGGATTGCATTAATTTAGCTGCAAGATTTAATTTATTTTTAAGTCTTTCATTTCTAAAAATTGTTTATACTTTAAATTAATTATAAATTAATATTTACCACTCCATGTCTATGAGAAACAACTGCTTTATTGTTATTGAAAAATTGAATATCAGACACATAACATGGCAACTTGAGCTGAAGCATATCTGGTTTAGGCTGTAAATAATACAACAAAATAAATAAGAACATTTAAAACTCTTTACGCAATATTAAGTAAATGTTATTAATAAAATATGTACTACAACCAAAAACGGTTAATACGTTTATAATATTTAAAAGGAACAGAAGAAAAATATAGGCTTACACTTTTAGCAGTAAATTCAATCTTTCCCGTTTCTAAATCCCATATTTTTAAAGGATTTTCATTTCCTCCTGTTGCAAATTTATCCAATGTAAGAACTTGTCTAATACATGATAAATGTGATCCAGTACTTATTTTTTCCAACTCATCTGTAGTTTTTTTAATAGGTTTAACCACTACCATTCCATTGTCCACTCCAGCAATCAAAACACTTATCATAAAACATAAATTATTCATAGTAAAATACAAAATATTTATGATAAATTACTCACTTATTCTTTTTAAATACACCAATAATATTCCCTGATTCTCGAATTAGATATTTCTTGGACATTTTCTTAGTTTTCAAATCAAATAATAACATTTTTCTTTTTGAGCTTATTATAGTTTTGCTTTCATCATAAATGCTAAGGTTATTTAGCGTTAAAGATGCATCCAATAAATTAGTGTATTTAAACTTGTTTTTTTTAAGTTCAACACCTGTAAAGAAAAACAATTTTAAAACATTATAAACAAACATTTTAACAATTGTCTAAGTTTCTCTAATATTATTAATAGCAAATATTATATAAATACAATTATTTGCTTTTAAAACTAAAAAACGTATTAATTAAGGTGGACTTCCAAACAGCAATACAATATTAATAAAATATTCAATTGTAAAACTTCTCAGCAACAAAAGTTTACGTAGACAGAATAATTATATTTTGTACACATTTATTTCATTTTTATTCTATATTTTACAATGAAGCATTGAGAAATAAGAATTATAACATATTAGGTCTTTGAAATATTGTTTATGCATTGTAATTTACCCATTTACTCAGTAGTAAATTCGAATTAATAGAGATAATTATAGTATGGATGCAGTAAGATATCTCTACGCCAATGTTGTTTCCGACAAGCTGACTTTAAATAAGAAAACTAATATTAAATTGATGTTGAATCCTCAATAATAAATAGCATACTATTTAGATGATTATTGAAACATACTAATAAGCAAAGGTATACAATTGATAAAAACCAAAAATCTTGAAAATATTTGATTTATTTAGCAAATAACTACTAACCTACTATAGATATAGATTCAATTAATAATAAATATTAATAAACATGTACAAAGTTAATCAATAATCATTGTTGTCTCAAGAACTAGGTGCTTACTTGTGCCTACTGTATTACAAGTATGAGAAGTCAATTTAAAATTAATCAAAGATAATTACTTAGGCATAGGCGGCACTTGGGAATGATTCTAGGGGGGGGGGGGCAAACAATTAATTACAATAACCCAGAAAAATGGACTTTCATAACCCAATTTTCCCAAAATAAAATTTCAACCTTGATTTAATTTTTTATTGGAGTGCATTTTTACCAACTTTGACTTCAGTAAAAAAGTTTTTTTTGACTAAATTTACTAAAATAAAGTATAATTATCTTAAAATATTAGGAGATATTTCAAACTAATAACTATTGTATTTTGGGGTATGAATATTTGATTATTTGAATAATAATTCTCATTTTACATTAACTTACATCCATATATCTCGTAAAGAATTACTTAACAGCTAATTACAAAACAATGTTCAAATTCAAAACTATTTACTTGAGTGCTAAACGTCGACTTTTTATTGAAGCTTCTACATCAAAAAATTTGGAATTCCAAAAACTATTTTCTTGTTTTACATCAGAAATTAAAATTATATTGGGAATATCATTAATTATTTTAAATTAAATTCAACTTTTTGGCGTTCATCAATAAAAGATTGAAATAACAGGTTTTTTCATTAATTTTTTTTTGGGGGTACAAAAGTATACATTTGCCACCCCATAAAATTTTGTTGGGGTGGCAACTGCCCCCTTATGACCCCCCCCCAAGTACCGCCTATGTACTTAGGTATATGAAACTTGAAAAATTTAATAGAAATTAATTTTAAATACTGTCGACATTAAATATGTATTACTAAAGCAGTCCTGTGGGCTGGTTATTAGTGATAGAACATAACTTTTTTTTTAATTTTGAGGAAATATTATATTGTAAAGCACTAGGAAATTATTATCACAATATTAATGAAAATATATTGTTTTTTAAGTTTGAATATTATATAGACATGTGAGTGTATACATGAAATGTGGTGTAACATTAAGTGGTGTGTGGAGGAAGATAATTATAATATTAAACACACAAAATATGTGTATATGACATATTATTGATACAATAGTATTAAACCTGCCTATATTATGTCTAAATTTACAAAGATATATATATGGGCATGTAAATCAATAATAGTATAATAATCCCGCATAATTTTATTTCTGAAACTCCTTTGTGTGTATGGAGACACGTAAGACTGTATTTTTTAAAAATCTCTGATAGAACCTATTTAATATTTTTAGATTTTTCAGGTTTAGTATTGTAATTTAATTCGTTCGACCCATCTATAAAAATCCAAAACTACGCCATTGAGGTAGGGACCATATTAGTTAGCTAGTATTGTAAGGAGGAATTGTAATTAAATAAAAATGTAAGTGGAAATTAATTTGTGAGCGAAGAGAGCAGTTTTTTTGTTCAGTTGTATGCGCTAACCTGTTACTAAAAACTAAAATGACGCTAATGATACACTACCTAAGATCCCAAATCTAACTTAATTTGTATAGATATTTAATATGCATTAAATGTGTGTATGACAATCATAATATTTATCTATAAGATGCTATCGATATAATCTATATATTTCTATAATATAGTTAGCTACTGACATTACTGTTGATCTTTTGTACCAACTGCTATATTATTATATCATAAAAAGTATAAATTATGCAAAGTTAATTTCTTGGTCTGAACAATTAATATTTATATTAATTAATATTTTACATATTATCTTTCCTAAAAGTATGGTTTATACTTGTCGCCTGTTGGAACGATAACAGATCAGATTAGTTATATTTTCAGAGTAATATTAATGAAGAATCGATTCATTAACTTAACAAAATAATTAACGCAATCCTAAACATCAAATTACTAATTTCCTCAAGCACATATGAGTTTAGAAATGCAGAAATGAATTGAAATTACCGGTTCCCTTGTCGGTCACGATTAAAATCGACATTACACAAATTTCTTAGCAGAACAGACAACTTTAAAATATTACCTTTTAACATTCCATTGCTGAAACCAATTATCGCATCGTAAGTCCAAGCCATTTCAACTGAATGAATAAAACACAACGGTTGAAAAAATCCACTTTACAAGACCGGCGAGTTGAGTTTTTATCGTGTGGTCTCTTATCACTCGTCGCGAAGACGCGAACACTCGGGTTATCGAAAACACGTGCTTTGTTTGAAAACGACGTAAATTTATTGATTACACCGCGTCATCTGGAAAACATTGTTATTTTTACCTCCATGATTTCACACCAATCATCACAGCCTCCACATCAACCATCACAGCCTCCGCGGCTTTAAATTTTCACAAAGTAATTTTCAAACATCTGGCAGATAAAAACAATAATTGCAGTTTAGCTACCACACCACTTGTTTGGTTTTTTTTGAGCATGTACTTAACGAGTTAAGAACGATAGCTCAAATCATTATTTTGGAAGTAATGTCCTTCCGTGGCTTGTGATTTTTGCTTTTATAACTTTCTGGTAGTGCTATTTCACACAAATCGGTTAATCTCAAATAGAACATAAGTACCTACGTAACTGTATCTGCTAAATGTATAATGATAAGTTCTATACTTATATGAAATAGTTATCGACTTTGAAATCGTCCAAGAACTACTGTTTGGCCGCGCTTAATTGGTACCTTCACAATTATCCAAAAACTATGAATGGGTTTAAAATAATGTGTGTAGCTAAAGCCCCTCGATACCCTAAATCGGCCCTACTAGTTACTTGCACAACTATTGCTGTAATAACTAGGTGTGTGTTAAATGCAAATATTATGCTAATAGTATGCTTAACACTTACTTGTTGCACGACTAATAATCCGTTTTCAGGAAAAAATATTTTTTCCATGTAGGTACTCTGATTATTTATAATTTACGAACAATTTAATATAATTATAGATAGATATTAATATATTATGGTATATAATATATATTTTTGTTTGTATTAAAGTACCTAATTTATTTTACGATAAGTAATGCGATAGCTAGTAGGTTGAATTAATTTTTGCAGAAAACATTACATATATTTTAATATTAATATTTAATTATTGAATAAAAACCTGATATTTAAATCATATATTAGGTAAGTATATATTTATATTATTATCATGGTATTATTGGTATTAACTTTTAAGTCAATACTTACGGTAGAACGGACAGAACGGTGTGAACAGCTTCGTGATTTAAAGAGTCAATAGAATAAAATTAATCTAAATGTTTTGAACATTTCACTGTGCATAATATATTATATAAAAATCTAAGCGCTTAAAAATTGAGTTAAAACAAAACATGGCAACATTTATAAAAGAAAAAAGTATATTTTGTGGTTACCTTAAATTGTAAATTAAATCCCAAATAAATTCAACAATTGCTGTTATATTCAAGACTCCAATATATCTTTTTCCTTTTTTTATGAGTGTTTCAGGTTAAAAATCACACAAGAAGCATTAATAATTGATTCAGTGGAGTACAAATAGAGGGTTTCCGGTATAAATCCCCCACAAGGACAAAAAAATCTAGTTTTGAAATGTTTGGAATGAAAAATATACACGTCATGAAAATGTCATCATATGTATAAAATGTAGTATCTGTCAATGATAATGGAATCAAAAAAAAACATTAATTTTTCGTCCGAGAAGGTAAACAAACGAACGTTTGTTATTCTCATCATAGGCGTGTTCAGACTTTGGTGGCTTCGGGGGCACAACAAATTTTTAAATTATTGTGAGACCTATTTTTGTTTTAGACATATCACAGCGCAAGACCTGGTAAATGGGCACAACCGCACAACAGTGCCATGTTCAGTAGTTATAAAGAACTGATGAACATAATATTGTAATATGAAAATGTTATCACTAATTAATAAATGCGTAACTAAAAAAATTACAATTAATCAAAATCTATAGGTACTGCAGAGTGCAGGGTATACACCGCACGACTTTGTTTTATCCTGGCGTGATTTTGTTGGAGGCACAGTCTACTGTCCCGGCCCCTCCCGTAAACACGCCAATGATTTACATTTTACATAAAAACTTTTTTTGAGTAGATATTAAATATTGTTAGTCATTAATAGTAAATTGTTTCAGTGCAGCTGTCGCCTTTGGCCAGTGGGTAACAGTTTGTGTATGTATCTATTATTGTAATAGCTTACCCACATCCCGGCGTCATCAAAATATTATTTAATTTATAATTTTATTCCTTATCTCTGGTGTATGACATCGCACTCGTATGTGTGGTATTCGCCGACCGTCTTACACACACATACGACATAAATAATGTTCGTTCACTAGTTTTAATAGTGAGCTGTTAGTTTTGATATTAGAGTGTATTGACCTATTATTAAACTTTTAGGCAAGATTGTAAGAACATTCAGAACATCTATGAGTTCTCTCGTTGGTTTTTTACGATATTTTAATTTGTAAGTGAGATGAAACTTACTTCACAGTCTGAATTTTCACGTCGAGTGAGTTTGAAAATGCTCATAATTTACTTTAAAATTAAAATATCTTAAAAACCAACGAGAGAACACAGAAGAAGAGAGAACGCTAGAAATGATTTAATAAACATAAATATAAACGATTGTCCAAATGTCCGATGATCAGAATGTCGTACTGTCATGAGTTCATGACTCGTGATAGGTATTCAAATATTTTATCATACCAATGAGCATATTACAATAGTAATCAAAAATGTAACTGAATTTTATGATTTAATTTGCCCATAGGTTGTCTTAAGTTCTTAATGCATTTGGTTAACAATACCCCAACCCCAGTGTCCTCAGTATAGAATTTTTCTGGTAAATTAGACGACATTATGTAACCAAGTAAATATGTATTATATGTCTTAAAATACATATTCAAATATGATAACGTAACCCTGAATATTTTAACCATTGCCTTTGATAAAACTTATTGCGTTGGGTAAAGCACTCCGATTAACATATGTATATATATGTATATTATTTAATCCCCTCCCCCGTAAGATAATTGAATATACGCCACTGAACTGATGTACGTCAACAGAATTGTCAACTTATAAAATAGTATTTGAATCAAGTTAAGAACATTTTAAAATATACAAACGATAACCTAACTTTTTTTAATGTTCATAAAATGCTTTATAATTAAAATATAAAAAACTTAGGTCGTCGACTAAATAATATTCTTATTTCTAAAATTGGTAGTAGGCCAATTCATTCTAAAATGAAATACATTTAGCCACATAGGTAGGTAACAGAGTTAAATGAATAATTATTCAAAAAATCATAACGTACAATTTGTTATTAATGTAATTGCGTTTGTAAGACGGACACAACGCATGCGGGCATGGCGTCCTCGTTTATCATATTATATAATATACTTTGTTAATATTTTATTGGAATATTAATCTATACTTAAACATTTTTTGTCATCAATAAAATAAACTTAAATTTTAAGTTCTGTAAAACAATGAAACTTTATGTACCCGCCAGAATGATTTGTATTTGTGAATAAAAAAAAAGAACGTTTTCGAATATAATTATCTATGAATTCTTTTATTCATCTGTGTTATATAATATAGTTACATTAAAGTATTAAACTATTGATTTTATAATAAAAAAGTATACGAAGGTGAATGTGTTATGTGGACATAGCGACGGTAAATTATATGTTAGTACCACACAAATCATCACTAAGGCAGTAAGGCATGAACATAACACTTATTAGATAATTATTATACTTGAATATACTTTAATAATACATTTAATATTATACAATAAATTATAGAATATCGACCACCAAACATTGAAACATTAATTGCATAATAAATAATATCTAAAAGCTTATCACACTAAGAGGACGCCACCCGGGAATTGGTTTTCTCCGTCTTATTTAAGTACAACATGGAAAATTTTATGTTCATAATAATTAATAGTACATTTTACTCTGTAATTTCTAAAATTATAATGAAGTTACCTCTTTCAAAATTTAAAGGCAAGAATATTATCATGAATGATTTCATTGATACTATTATTTTTATGTAATTTATGACCATTTTAAAACTGTTTATTTTTTGCACATTTTAAAATTATTAAAACTTACTTTCAAATAATAATATCAATACAATACTCCCTAGATGCCCTAGATTATATTCTTGCCTTCAAATTTTATAAGAATCAAATTCATTCTAATTTTGGAAATTACAGAATAAAATGTATTATTGTGAACGTAAAATTAGCCATGTTGTAAGTTTGTTAGACGGAGACAACAAATGCCGGTCTTGCGTCGAATTCGTATTACGTCCAAATGTCCAATACAACAATAATTGAACATTTGGCAAAGTAAAATCAGTGGTGTATTACGTATATTAGTCATTAGATTTAGATACCTACCTACTATACGATATTAGCCATTAACTTAGGTATAGGAAATTAGGACACAGTAATACAGTATATTATTATATTATTTATACTGTGATTAGGAGAACGCCGCACCCTTACGTCTTATTGTCTCCACATCTTACTATTGCAGTATTGCATAACATAGACAATATTTTACGCTCTGTAGTTCACGTTCAGCAATTAAGCTTTATTATTAGTTTTAATATTATGATGAATTTATCCATTGTTAAACTCAAAGCTATTACATTGTAAACTGTGTTTATACGTCAGTTTTGTTCGATACATAATTTTAATTTTTATGTCAAGTTAAAAGTAGGTACGGAGTAAGTGAAAATGTGAAATATTGAAATTTAAAAATACTCAAAACTCGCTTATGCTAAACATTGAAATATGGTAAATAAACTGACGTACCATGTTAAAACACAGACCACCATGTTTACGTGTACCTTTAAGTATGATAAAACCATCTATATCTATGATCTATAGATCAATTAATTAACGAAGTTAAACGTGAACTGTTGAGAATAAGTTTGGTATTGCATATATGGTATGTGTTGCATTAATATTATTTTACGCACTTGTGAAACGGAGACCACAAAATGAATCCAGGTGTGTCCTTCCTATTCATCAATTTAATATTAACTATTTTATTATGTACTTTGTACCTATGTAGTTTTTAGCAAACTATTACTATTTATTTATTTGTTATTAGTTTAATATTACTAATTAGTCAGATTTTATTATTCTGGCACCTACT